ATTGCAGGAAAAGAACAAAATGTGATTAACGAGTCTTAATTGTTAAATAGAGAACCAAAAAAATCCTTTGCAGTAAGGAAGAACCCATTGCAATTCAATTTGATGAGCAAACCCAGGCAGAACAGGGATATTCACGTTTGTATTTCCACATGGCTGCAAGATGCTAGCTTGCTATTCTGCATAATGGTATAAATTATTCCCAAACTCAGAACTATACTCGAAAAAGCCCATTTTCAGCATGTTCGAAGACCACTGAACCACATTTATTGAAAATAAAGAGGCCTTTGGGAGATGGGGCTTGCACAAAGTTCAGACTTTGGTCTTTGCAAGGAATTTATATGCTCTGCCTATTTCCTGCCATACAAGCTCTGAATGCATTGATCTTGCATCAGCAGCACTATTGGTGATCTTTGATTTTGGTACATTCTGATGTTAACTTTGAAAATTTTAAGTGTTTCAATAAACAAGCAGTGTGCAATCAAAATTCCTAAATTCAACAAGTTAAGAAAGTTGTCTCAGGATTGCCAAGTTAAACAAAGGGAAGAACCTGCTAAAAAGCAAGAAAAGACAAATAAAAAGTTGCTTACCCGATTCCCTTTTGGACCAGCTTCCCCCACTGGGCCAGGTAAGCCCTGAAAGAGAAGGCAGAAAAAAGACAAATGTGGATGTGCTTTAACTTAATGAGCAGTGCCAAACTTCCAACAACATCCCTGCACAGTTCCGCTTTCAATACTCACTCCCAGGCATATCAACTAAGAAGAAAAAAACCAAAATGATACAAATAACAAATCTCCCGTTGTTGTAGAGTCTTTACTCAGCAGAGCCCGAGCCTCCCCCAGGGCTGAAGGAGAGATTTCTGACCATGAAGACCAGAAAGACTAATGCAACAGGGCATGCAGAGACTGCATTACCCTTTACACACAACACAGTGATCCTCCATAGCCACCATCTCCTTCTCCAAAGGCAGCTTCCTGCCCAAATGGACACACGCATAGCAGTGACATAAGTATTTCAGTACTCGTTTAGACACAGTGGGGCCCCGATGTAGTGAGAACATCCCTCTGATTTCTGCAGCCTACGAAGCCATGCAGCAATGCTGGTGCTATAGACCTCTAGACCTTCACAGCACCCACCTATGCAGATAACTGAAGATACAATCTATAGGTGAACTCCATACTACCTCTGTGCTTACTGCTGCTCCCTTAAAAGTACCAAGAAAAAGAACTCTGTAAAGATGTATGCTGAATTTCCACATGGAAATTTGCTAAGAGACAATCAAAGTCAGTTGTTTATTATTATTATTATTCTAATTTCCAAAAGTCACTGGGGTTTCTTGGAAGAAAAAAAGAAAAAACAACTCTATTTTCTTTAGCTGGCAGCACCACATACTCAGCCTTGGATTTGAAAGTCAAGTTGTGCTTTCTTGGTGCATGCATCGTCGCCAGCCAAAGATCGCAGCCATCCGAGTGGAGTTCACAATTCTGCCTATGATGCACAAATCAAAATACAGCCAAGCTCTCTCCCCCATAGGACTACGTAGCCAGCAGAGCTGACAAGAGTAACAAATAGTAAAATCTCAGTAAACAGCTCTGATGCTGGATACACACAGCATCCAGATACACTGAAAAAGTTGTCTTGAAAAAATATATACAAACAAAAAAAGGCACTTCCCTGTCCCAAACCACATTTTAAGAAAACACTTTTGTTCTTTGTATGTTCAAGTACAAATATTTCACCCTGCTTATCTGATGGGCAGAAGAATGCTTCTGTGAAGCAGCGTCCATAACCTTGTATGTCCATTAGAGCTCCAGTTTTATATCAGTCATGTCATGTACATAACCTTGTATGTCCATTAGAGCTCCACAGTTTTATATCAGTCATGTCATGTACATTCATACCTAGAAGACACTTTGGCAATACGAATCTTGAAGAGCCTTTCAGAGTATGAACGTAGCATTTAGTCAAGCAGACAAAGTTCTCACCCAGGTCTACCACCTGCATGCTCGGTGTGTGTCTGGATAGCCCACCTTACATTTGCAAAGTGGATTCTGAAACTAAATTCAAACTTCAACACACCATATATTATTGATAGCCTGGGGGCATGCAGACTTGCTCAGCGTGCCTAGTTCACATGTAGCTCA